GAATACACCACTTAAATATTTAAGATCTTCTAGCAGATGCGGTTCGTTCGGAGAACTAAAATGAAATGTTTCGTTATCTGTTGAAAATTAAACCTAAAAACTAGTAAAGCTGACCTCAAAAAAAGTTTCAAGTTTTAGTTCCTCTTATTAAAGGTTTTTTTTTATTGTATATATTTCAATGTATCTAAAGATGACTCTAGATTAAAAATGAAGGTGCAGGAGGTGACTCAAATAACTCTGAAGATGACAATACACCTGTAGAGTTATTTGCTAAGTTGGCTGAAAGTGTCCATGGAATGCAGTAGCCACTTAGCAACCTGAACATAAATTATTCAAGCAATTGTTTTTATAATAACAATGTAGTTAGTAGTTAGCTAGTTTATAAAATCGTAAGACTGGTTGATTAAAATATCCTCTAAATATTGGTACTACATTTTACTGCGAATAATGTTATAATTTATGAATGTAGTGGAGATGATTGAAGCTGAGCGAATTGCATTATTTTTCACTCTCCTCTCACTCCGAAGTATGTTTTTTTTTTAACTACATGTCCAGTTTGCTAACATCTGAAGTACAACGGTTATTACTTGTGTGCTTTTCACAGTGGGGCATTAAAGCTAAAAGTTAAAATTACAGCCTATATACGTCCCACTGCTGGAGACCTCCTCTCATTGCTGAGAGAATTTGGGGCAAGGAAGTATGCGCCACGCTGGCCCAATACGTGTTGGCGAACTTCACATATCTTCTATGACATCTTTTATATTAAATAAGCTATAGGTACAACAAATGTCTCCAATTTCAGAACTTTTCATCTTATACAATGTGCGTTATTGAAATATTCATTTTGAGCTATTTTTCTGATTTTGTCTAACTTCATCAGTAAGACTGCTCCCTAACATAGAGAGTAACATCGAGAGAGTCTAAATCTTTAAAAATGGTATAATGTCTGTCTGGGTTTACCATATCGAACCTTACCGTAAAATATTGAGAATAGAAATTATATATATATATATGACGGCACGTGCACCATTGCACCTGCGACGGCGTCCGTGTAGCTAGACAGAATTCTTGTAAATAACACATGCTCCGCACACCTGCACAATTGCACCTGCGGTGGCGCCCGCTAAGCTTGTATAAAACGGAAGGAGCTGCCGCCGTTAGAACAGTCTTGGCTCTGACGTGGAACGGTGCGCTTGTCGTATTCCGTTACTAGTTTATCCTCGACTCGTTGGATAATTAATTCGTGTAAACGAATTAATTATTATTCCTAACTACAAAATCAGTCTCTGTACTACTCAATTACCCTTCCTACATCAGAAGTGGGATAAAGTCCCTGTTACTGCCCACCTGCTATAACCTTTGAATAGTATAAGGGTTACTACGTTGGTGAAATACTATAATGCGCCTCGCGTTTTGTTTTTGTGTTCAATTTCTTAAATCAAGTTTGTTGTCGTATTTACGACATTGACGAATCATTAAAGTGTAGAGTGAAAGTTTAAAGTGAAATGTTTTAAGTCAAAAGATAAATCTTTTTATTCAATTTATAATAGAAAGTACCCGCAAGTAATTTCATATTTCTTAACGTACCCAAATATAATAACAAATGTCGAAAGAAATGTTGGAGATATTCTGAATGAGTTATAGTTTGCATTCAGTGGAACTTTAACTTGCTCAAGTAATGTTATAATTTGATACACGAGGTGTGATTTACATGGCCTAGTTTAAAAGTTCAAAATGTTTAAACGATGTACCGAAAAAAAAATTACATGATTACTTTAACGTGCTATGACTTAAAAACACTAAGTAGTATTTTTGTGATCTAATGTGATGATAAGTGTTACAGTTTACTCCGAGCATTACGTAGTCGACAAACTTGGAATGGTTTAGTGGAAAGCGTGGAGCTGTAGCGCTCGCTTTTGAGTATGCTGTCGGCTTATGACGCCGCGAACTTATTATTTGTCGCTGCTACTGATCACCATTAGATACATGAGGAAAGTAAATTTATCCTAAACATTGGCTCAAAAACTATTTTGTAAGAATGAGCGTTTACATTTTTAATTGGTTGCGAAAAATGCCGGAAAACCGAAGTATAACTGAATGAAAGTGAAGTAGAGCCAATTAGTTCTGACATTGAAGAGAGTATTTAAGTTTACATGAGGATCGGACCATACCAGAGGTTGTCGTGTAGCCGCAGCTCAGTATTTGGTGCCCTAGAAAGGCGAATGGTGTACCAAGAGTAGTGCTTCATTTCTTGAAATCAAGTTCCGACTGAGTATTTTTAATGTTTTCTTTTATGTGTTACAGTAGCACGTTTGATGTGATTACAAGTGCGTGAGTGTGTGCCTTGCTGGTCGTAACGGACTGCCAGGTCCAGCTGTAACATGGCCTGGTTTCGGCAGATGCGTATGCGCGTATACGCAGTCGCCATCCCGGAGCGTGCGTATGCTGTACATGGCGATGCCTCGGAAGTCGTGTACTCTGTATGCGTGGGAGTCACACTGTGTGCGCGGAAGTCGTATGCTGTGTGCACGGTAATGTTTTTTGAACTTGTATTAGGCTCTGTCCTGGCAGGCGCTGTCCTGGTTCACGTTTTTAATGTGGTTCACGTAGTTAACGTGGGATCTCGCAAGTTTAAGTAAGAGTATGTGTCAGATACTTCGTATGAAGACCTATGTTTACTTGTGAAAGCGAAGTGCTTTATTATAGTCCACGGTATGAGAACGTATTTCTGTTTTAGGGCCTCGTATGTGTGATAGATGAGAGAACAGGTAACTGTGTATGTTGTCCTTATAGTTAACAATTTGTTTTTCACGCAGATCATGATGACTACAACCCCGATGAACCCTTAGGTGCTCCTGCTGCTCTCGTTTTGTTGTAATTTGATAGTTCACGCGAAACATGATTAACATTTGCTATATTTTGAAGTTCAAAACTTTTAAGGGTTGTACTACAATAAAGGATTAACTTTAACACGCTATGAATTGAAAATAATAAGTAACATTTTTGTGTTCTAATGTGTTGATCAGTGTTGCAGTTTGCTCCGAATATTGTGTCGTTGACAAGATTGGGGTTTGATTTCGAGGGATTCGTAGAAGTCTCTACAACAATGATCAATGAGGAAGACGTTGTGATGGCTAATCGAACATGGTCAGGTACGGCCGAGCGCTGGTTAGATTGAGCCTACACCGCTACAGTCAGTTACTTATCGGCTGATCTTACGGCAGGGCAATCAAGAGGCCGCCGAACAAATGGTGCTTTGGCGCTGTAAATGGACGACTTTCGTAGATTTTGCGCAGTTTCCTCCTTCGCTTCGAAATATGTTGTGGTATCTGTCTCTACACATAGTTTCCATTTTTTTTTAAATGTTTTCAAATGTCGTGCAGTTGCCGTTTCTTAAGAGAATATGTGATGAAATTCGGAAGCTCGGAATTCCATGGTTCGCAATACATTTATCTCGATTTCTTTTAATTTTCGCAAAGCAGTGCGACGATTCGCTAGCGCTAGTACGGCGCGACGGCTTGCTACTGCGAATGTGGCACGATCGCAGCAGAACGAAAAGCTGTAGTGCGTTTGCCTGGAGGTAGCCATATCCGCGCGTTCCAGACTTAAATGAAGTCTGGGATGGTCGACCGTTGTAATATTTAACCAGAGTTAATATCTGTTAGCAAGTGGTGATAACTGATAGACCGTATGCTGTTCACTGTGAACCGCACGAAGACGTGCGACAGTCAGAGGTAGCCGTGTCTGTGCATCTAGAAAATACTAGAGACGTTGCAACACTCTAGCGAAGTAATTATTCCAGTGCAGGAAAGGAACATGAAGTTGCAGGGAGGCTGGTCTGTGCTGCACTGGGATATGTGTCGTGTTGCTGTTGGTTTACATACTTAGGTGATCACTACGTCCCTCACGATACACTTTTGTGTGATTGTGACGGGGACATGTTTGCGGTATAGTTGGTCTGTAACTGTTCTATACTGAATTAAAAAAAAAAAGAGAGTAAGAAAAAAAATGTGGTTCTTACTATCATTGCAGGGAGTTTGCCGGTCCAATGATATAGCTAAAGGGAATAGTGATTCCGGACTAGCATAAATAGTACTTGAAAAAAAAAGCGTAAGAAAAAAAAAATAGTTCTTACTATCATTGCAGGGCTTTGTGCCGGTCCAATGATATGGCTATAGGGAATAGTTATTCCGGACTAGCGAAAACAGTACTTTAAAAAAAAAGAGAAAATAGAAAAAGCTACAGATCATTCCGATCTAACATAAAGATGATTAAAGTTTTGTAAGGCTTACTGCCGGAACAAAACTGACTGTCACCCCAGTCTGAAGGGTCAATATAGACCGGACCAGACGCTGTTTTGTCAGGAGAACCGAACGATGTTTTTCTGTCTACAGATAACTAAGATTGTGATGGAGCGCGTGCGAGGACGCACGCATGTCAGTATGGCCGTGACGGCACGTGCACCATTGCACCTGCGACGGCGTCCGTGTAGCTAGACAGAATTCTTGTAAATAACACGTGTACCGCACACCTGCACCATTGCACCTGCGGTGGCGCCCGCTAAGCTTGTATAAAACGGACGGAGCTGCCGCCGTTAGAACAGTCTTAGCTCTGACGTGGAACGGTGCGCTTGTCGTATTCCGTTACTAGTTTATCCTCGATTCGTTGTGTTGTAATAAAAATTTGCGCCTTCTATAATCTGTGCTCTTGTATATTATTACATACTCTATGATAAAAAGCACTCTCTCTCTCTACTCTGTGGTCATTACTAGTATAAAGTGTTGTATTTTGTCACTAATAAATGTTTGTTTAAAGTCTTTAGAAAAGGATAATATTTTCATTTAATAATAACAGGTTATGGGCCCAGAAAGCCCGATAAATAAAATCAGTGCATAAAGTCTACTAAATCAGTGTCAAAAACAGTTTTGTAAAAGACCTAACCTACAAAGGCAACGTGCTCAGTTTTCAGAATAAATATTGAGTTTTATTTCGAATTCAGCATGTCATCAAGTAATCAATTGGCATTAATTGAGAAATTAACCGGCCGTGATAACTATGCCACATGGCGTTTTGCTGTTAAAACGTACTTGCAACATGAGGAATTATGGGATTGCGTGGAATGTGTAAATTCAAGCGCAATTGACACAAAGCGTGACACTAAAGCCAGATCGAAAATAATACTGCTTGTCGATCCTGTTAACTATGTTCATATTCAAGAATCATGCACTGCGAAAGAAGTTTGGGAAAATTTATCTCACGCTTTCGACGACTCCGGACTAACACGCCGAGTTGGTCTGCTGCGTGACTTATGCAATACTACACTAGCTGGATGTTTAAATGTAGAGGAGTATGTTAGTAAAATAATGACAACAGCTCATAAGTTAAGGAACATTGGCTTTAATGTGAACGATGAGTGGCTAGGCACACTTTTGCTGTCCGGCCTTCCAGAAAGTTATAAGCCAATGATAATGGCCATTGAAGGCTCAGGTATGAAGATTTCCTCTGACTCAGTGAAATCAAAATTATTACAAGATGTTAAACAAAATGAAAGTGATTCTTCAGCTCTTGCTACAAGTCAGAAGTTCCACAACAAAAATAAAAGATTTTCTAAAGGTCCTCGCTGCTATACGTGCAACAAATATGGGCATAAAAGTCCTGAGTGCAAATCATCAAAATCCAATAAGGATCAGAAGAATACAAATAAACAAAACAGTACGTCTTATGCTGCCGTCTTTATAGCTTCTTCTGAATACTCCGATGACTGGTATGTTGATTCTGGTGCTTCTGTACATATGACCAAACACAATAATTTGTTTATAGAAGAAACAACTCCACACATTAAAAATATTAAAGTTGCAAATAATAAAACACTGTCTGTCTTAAGCTCTGGAAAAATAAGCTTGAGTGTTTATGACGGAAGAGGCCAACAAAATGATATATTGTTTACAAATGTATTATATGTACCTGAACTAGCTACAAACCTGCTGTCAGTAAGTCAGATTATTAATAATGGTGGCCAAGTGAAGTTAAATAAGAGTGGCTGTGTTATTCTTAATAGAAAGAATGACATAGTAGCAACAGCAAGTTTAATAAATAATATGTACCGACTGAACGTGCCTGGTGGCTATACATGCATATCAGATATTATTGAGCAAGATACTTACCTGTGGCACCAAAGGATGGGTCATCTGAATTTTCAGAGCATGAAGAAATTGACCGAGAATACTGCAGATTTAAAGTCAAGTCAAAGAAAATGTTAAGTGTATAACAAGTCAGAAAGGAAAACAAACACGTTTGTCTTTTAAAAGCCAAGGGTCTCAGAGCAAAGGCTTACTTGAATTGATACACTCAGATGTCTGCGGACCGATGGAAACTCAGTCTTTGGGCAAAGCCAGATATTTTGTAACATTCCTCGATGACTACTCAAAGAAAATATTTGTTTATACCATGTACAATAAGTCAGAAGTCCTAGAAAAATTTAAAGAATTTCAAAAACAAGTTGAGAATCAGTTAAACCGTAGCATTAAAATTCTCAGATTTGACAATGGACTTGAATATGTCAATGAAAAATTTTCAAATTTTCTCAAAGATGCCGGAATAATACATCAGACAACTACACCTTATACACCAGAACAAAATGGTACAGCCGAACGCATGAACAGAACTTTAGTAGAAAGAGCAAGATGTATGATGTTAAATGCTAACTTACCTAAAATCTATTGGGCTGAAGCAATTCATACAGCTGCCTACATTGTAAACCGCTCTCCAACAAAATCTTTGTTTTATAAAACCCCAGAAGAGATGTGGACTGGTCAGAAACCTAAGGTTAGCCACATGCGCACATTTGGTTGTGAGGCAATGGTCCACTTACCAAGAGAAAAAAGAAAGAAGTTTGATTCAAAATCACAAAAATTAATTTTTATTGGGTACTGTGAAAATTCAAAAGGATATCGATTCATATTACCTAACTCAAGAACAGCAATAAAAAGTAGAGATGCAATATTTTTAGAGTCAACAGTTAAAAGAGATTTTGTACCGATTGAATTAATTACAAATGAAAGCTGTATTAAAAGTAACAGTTTAGAAGAAATTTCAAGTGATGACTCATTAGACACTGCGAGTGAAGATAAATCACAGTCAGACGGCGAGTACATCCCCGATGAAAGTGTAGAATCTTCACCTGACAGAAATATAACAGTAAGAACAAGAAGACAATGTTTAAATGCACAGAAACAAGAAGAGAGTTCTTACCTGTGTTGTGAAGAACAATTATCAGAAAATGATGTTCCTGATAACTATGAAAAGGCATTAAAGTCTATCGATGCCACAAAATGGATAAAATCAATAAATGAAGAGCTTGATTCTCATCATAAAAATAATACTTGGACATTAGTTAAAAAAAAATCCCAATATGCGAATAATTGGATGTAAATGGGTTTTTTCGCATGAAAGAAGAACCTTCAGGTCCACGTTATAAGTCCCGGCTTTGTGCGAAAGGATACTCACAAACCAAAGGTATTGATTACCAAGATACATTTGCTCCAACTGTCAGGTACGATTCCATACGTATATTATTTTCAGAAGCTGCTCAACACAATCTTGAGATAATTCAGCTAGATATTAAAACAGCTTTTCTATATGGTGAGCTTGAAGAAGACATATACATGACTATACCCGAGGGCTTAACCTGCGATGCTAATAAGGTGTGTAAACTCAATAAATCTTTATATGGTTTAAAACAGGCTCCCAGATGCTGGAATTCAAAATTTGATGCTGTTTTAAAGAAGCTTGGGCTAGCCAATAGTAAAGCTGATCAGTGTGTGTATGTTGGCACTATTAATGGAGCAAAATGTTACCTGTGTTTGTATGTTGATGATGGACTGTTATTTGCGAAAAATACATCAACTTTAAAGGAGTTGATTTTTTTTTATTGTTTTTATAGTATAGGGTGACAAACGAGCACACAGTCCACCTGATGGTAAGTGGTTGCTGTAGCCCATAGACATCTACATCTATCCTCAATAAAGACTCAAGATGCAGATGCGTTGTCACCCGTGAGGACTAAGATGGAATGCCTCTTTGCCAGTAAAAAGGGTCTCCGGTTCTCTACACTTACCATACGAAACACAGCAGCGTTAAGCTGCTATTTTACGCTGGTTTTCTGTGAGAGTGTGGTCCTTCCCCGGGCGAGCCGACCCATTCGTACTACAACTATACTTCTAATATAGCTGCCGCATGGCTCTACCACGTAAAACTTACAGTCAATATTTGAAGTGAAAATCTGTTCACTCAAAAATTTTGTTGGTATGGAGATACAGAAGTGTGACAAATACATTTTTATACATCAGTCAAACTATATTGAGAAGTTATTAAATAAATTTAATTTGTATAATTGTAAACCAAACTGTATTCCAGTTGAGCCACATATGAAGTTGGTGAAAGGAGAAGGAGAAACAGAAAAGAACATCCCATATCGGGAAGCAGTTGGAACATTGATGCACCTAGCTACAGTAAGCCGACCTGATATTTCATTCGCAGTAAGCCTGGTGGGTCGATTTTTAAACTCTTACAATGAAACACAGTGGAATGCTGTGAAAAAAATTTTAAAGTATCTAAAAGAGACTAAAGGTTATGGCCTGTGCTACACACCAATGTCAGAGCCTAATGTAGTAGTTGGCTACAGTGATGCAGATTTCGCTAACGACCCTAGCACAAGACGTTCAGTCACGGGATATGCCTTTATTAAAAATGGAGCAGCAGTGACTTGGGCTTGTCAGAAACAACAGACAGTGGCCCTGTCAACCATTGAAGCAGAATTCATGGCAGCCTGTGCCGCCACTAAAGAGGCTATGTGGGTCAAACAACTGTTATGTGACATCGGTGAATTTAATCAAAAATCAGTGTGCTTAAATCTAGATAATCAAAGTGCTATAAATGTAATTAAAAACATAAACTTTCACAAACGGTGTAAACATATAGACATTAAGTTTCATTTTATAAAAGAAAAATATTATGATAAAATTATTGAGTTAAACTATGTATGCAGTGATGAGCAATATGCTGATATTTTTACCAAACCTTTGTGTAAAATAAAATTTTGTTATCTTAGAGATAAAATCGGAATTAAATCTTGCCATGTAGTCAAGAATACTTAAATACTAAACTTATTGTTTGCTTTATGTCTGAAATGTAAAAGTTAACAACTAGAAGGCATTAATTTAGGGGGTGTGTTGTAATAAAAATTTGCGCCTTCTATAATCTGTGCTCTTGTATATTATTACATACTCTATGATAAAAAGCACTCTCTCTCTACTCTGTGGTCATTACTAGTATAAAGTGTTGTATTTTGTCACTAATAAATGTTTGTTTAAACTCTTTAGAAAAGGATAATATTTTGATTTAATAATAACACGTTGGATAATTAATTCGTGTAAACGAATTAATTATTATTCCTAACTACAAAATCAGTCTCTGTACTACTCAATTACCCTTCCTACACATATATATATATACACACAGTGGATTTCATTTATTACGACCCTTGAATTTAAAGCATATTTTAGTACAAAATTCATGTGGCTATAGCGACTTTGGATGTAACACCGAGTTTGGGTGTAGCGACTGGTTTTAATGATTCATTCGTAAGTAATTACTAGAAATCCCATGCAAATATTGCGACTGGAGTCGGCTGCCAAAGACACAAAGATTTCTTTCTTTCACAAACATTTCTTATCTTTTGTTTACATCCACACAGATGGTCAGCAAGTGCGGAGACCTTTACTATTTGTTAATAGATATCAGCTGAGTAGGTAGGGAAGTGTGTACGTTTCGGAGTTAAATTTATGGTTTAGTTAAAAAGTGATATTCTGACTAGCAACTGTAATGTATTGAATTTGTTACCTGTACTTGTAACGACTTCCGGATATAACGACGAAAATAGAGTGGTCCCTTCATCGTCGTTATACCCTAAATTTACTGTCTATATATTTAGAACATATTATATAACTTTACAATAATTAAGAACATTTTTATATGAATTTTAATCGAACCAGCATGGTAGTGGTCACCTCATGTCCAGGGGTTATAATATATAGTGCACTTGTGCTTGCGCATACACTCGCATACGATCCTGTCCTGCGTAGACTGCCTGTCTCCGTTGGGAATAACCGCCATGACCGAAATTCGGTCTGAATGAATTACTTTAATAAGACATAACAGACAACACTAATCTTTCATATTCTATTTTTTTATTGGATGGGGTGACAAACGAGCACACAGCCCCCCTGATGGTAAGTGGTAGCTGTGACCCATAGACATCTACATCTATCCTCAATAAAGAATCAAAATGCAGACGCGTTATCACCCGTGAGGACTAAGATGGAATGCCTCTTTTCCAGAAAAACGGGCTTGTAAAATATAAGTAAAATTCTTGGTATTACATAATAACGACAGTACAACTTAATGTTAGTAAAGCCCGACCTCATTTCATTACAAGTTCGTCTTATGTTATTATCTTAATCTAGACGAATAAAACAAATAATTGTTTGATGATCCTCATTCACTCAATGAAAACAAAGTACTCGGGTTAACCCTACATGTATTTGGCTAATTAAGTATCGTTGTATGTTCAATTATGATGACAGTTGATACTTGTACAAGTTGTGTTTTCAAATTGTATTTTATTAGTAATTTCATTAATTTGATGAAGATCAATAGTTTTAATGTGTAGCGACGGCTGGCGCAGTATCGTAGCAATGAGTTGCAGAGCTAAGGGCCGCGAGTTCGATTCCCGCACAAAACAAGTATTTGTATGGCCTAGAAATATTTGCTAAGGGTCTGGATGTTTGTTCTTGTGAAAGTTAAGTATGTAAACTGCCCCCATTCAGGAGAAAATCCTAGAGTGGTTACCTTTAATATAATTAAAAATTAAAAAGTTTGTACAACCGACTTCAATATAAATTATTAAGAATAACTCAAAAACTATTGGTCAGACCTTGATCAATATGGCACAACATGTGAACTACCAACTTTCAAATAAAAAAAGAATCAATAAAATCGGTTCACCCAGTAAATAGTTATGAGGTAACAAACATTAAAAAAAAACTATCGAATTGAGTACCTTTTCCTTTTTGAAGTCGGCAGAAAAGGATTAAAAAGAAGAATTTACCAATTGATATAATATGCTTAAGGTGACTGAATAGACATATAATTGTTAGTATTCTGTAACGAGTTTTGAATTTGTGTTGCCGTTAAAGCCTAT